GGGAGAGGGAGGGAGAGAGAGGAAGAGAGAGGGAGGCGAGGGAGAGGGAGGGAGGCGAGGGAGAGGGAGGGAGAGAGAGGGAGGCGAGGGAGAGGGAGGGAGGCGAGGGAGAGGGAGGGAGACGAGGGAATGGGAAGGAGAGGGAGGGAGACGAGGGAGAGGGAGGGAGGCGAGGGATAGAGAGGCGAGGGAGAGGGGAGAGGGAGGCGAGGGAGGAGGTGAAGTGAGGTTGCGCAGGACGGGGCGAGCAGGAACGACAAGAACAACAAAAAGAGCGAGAAAGGAGAGAAGAAGGCGGCTGGCGGCAGAGCGTGAGTGGTTGGGATAACTCGCTCCCCTCCCCTCTCCCCGCGCCGCCCACACGAGCCACGCTCCGGCCGGCCAGCAGCGGTTAGGTTGGCTTTATTATTGTACCTCCATTTTCTCCCCCCAGCCAAATCACCGACACCACCAAGAATCCCTGCTGCTGCTGCTCTCGAGCGTGCAGCGAGCGCCATGTTCGCCAAATTCCAGTACACACGCGCACGCGCTCACACACACTCTGCCGACCTTAACCCACTTGGCTAAAATGGCGGGCTCACGTCACGCTACGCTGCGCCACACCGCCAGTCCAGTCCAGCAGGCCGGCCGGCCGGCGACTCCCCGCCCTGGCCGCCTTGTTGCGACAATCACCGAAGGTCACGGGTCAACAGGCCCATTGGCGCACGCCAAATGCCACCGCAGCAGCCCGCCAGTGTCCAGGGCGGCCGCACGGGAGCACCCAGTCAGATATGACTTTGGCAAAACTTGTTTAGGGTCAAGACCGAGATTTGCCACGGCTTTTTAACGCTGACACGAGACAGCAAGAATCCGTCAGTTCATGAGGCGAAATGAGAGTGTACTGGCAATTGATTTGGACTGTTTTGTTTTTAGGATTGAGCTGAGTAAGTGATTGAGTGATTGGCTGTCTCTGCGTTTAAATTACCCCTGCACACTTTCCAATTTCCAGTCGCGGCAATAAAATGAAAAGGACAAACTGATCCGGAAAGGGGTATTACGCGGACGAAGCCAAGCCAACAACAGCCCCCGACACGAGTGAGACACGAAGATCTCTCGCCGCCCCAACCACCGCAGCAGAGAGAGGGGCCTAACGAGGTTAGCGCCCGCGAGTAATCGCGTTAGGGGCCCGCGCGCCGCACCCGCACCGGCGTGGCCGAGGGCCTAAGTGGCGAGGCGTGGCTGGGCGACGCGTGCCCGAAGGCCGGGCGGCAGCCACACCGCGCTGGCGCTCCTTCCTCCTCCTGCTCGGCCAGGCCCGCGGGGCCAGCGCGGTCCAGGTATGGAGTACGCGGAGAGGAAGAGGGGGGGGGGGCAAAGGCGCGCGGGAGACGGGTGGGCAGAGATGGAAGCAAAGATAGGAGAAAGATGGGCCGGATCATAAGCGGTAGACGCGGTGGCGTCAAACAGACCGTGGTAGTAGTGGCAGTACACAGCCGGCCGTCCGGCTCGGCAGGGGAGATGTTTTCCTTTGGATCGGAGAGAAGGGGCGGGGCGGGGCCGACGGACAGCGGAAGATTTTCTCATCTAGTCGGCTGAGCTCATTCGGACTTGAATGGGGTAGTGTGAGGGGGGCGAGCATCAGGCTGCCGCAGAGTACGCTTCCCTCGCCTCACAGCCCTCTCTACTGGTTTGTCGCCGTGTGTCACCATTACGACGACGAAAAACACCCGGAGTAGCTATACAAGTCTCCACCCCTCACCCCTCCTCGTCTGCCAAACTCCAAACTGGGCGGCGACATCTTGTCCAACGCTGTTCGGGAGGCACGCGGGAGGCGGCCGGGAGGCGGGAGGGTGTTCCGCAACATGCCATTAATCCTCGGCCGGTCCGACGACGTCAAAGCCATCGTGACAGGTGCTCCGGCCGGCGGGGAACTACCGGGTAGTTGTAGCAATCACTGCATTGTGAGTCACCACCCCGAGCGGACTTCAATAGAGCTGGCCCCCCAGGCTGGGCCCCGCCCGAGTCACCTCTGCCTCTCCAAAAAGGCCAATCGGGCACGCTGCCCAAATCATCGCGTCGGACTGCAGTGTATCGCTGCGGTGGCCTTGAGTGCGCGGCCCGAGCAGAGGGGGGCAATTTGCAGCCGCCGCTGACGAACTGGAGAGGAGGAGGGGGGCCTGACTCGCGGTGACACTAGGCGTGCTGCTCTGTGAGTCAGACCGTCAGCACAAGCAGAGCCGCGGGGCGTGGCGGGGCGTGCCACCCCGCCTCCACAATTCTGGCGCGCGAAGTGGAGCGTGGTGGAGCAAGTAGTGTACTCCAGGCCATAGTACCCACCCGCAGGCGGGCGGCAGCTGCGGGCAGGCGATGCATTGCAGCTAGCAGGTGCAGCAAGAGCAGCTGCACCGCGCTCCCGCCCTTGGCCCGACCGGGTCCGACTCGACACGCAAGACGTCACGCTGTCCGGGTCGAAGGCAGCCCAGGGCGCCTGAAGGCAGGCTATCCCGCTGGACAGGCGTGTACCGCGGGGCAGCCTACCCGCTCAGGCGCTACGGTCAGCCTGTAGGCAGGCAGTCCCGTTGGGCAGGGGTGTGTTGCGGGGCGGCCTGCGGCCTACCCACCTAGGCGCTACGGTCAGCCTGTAGGCAGGCAGTCACGTTAGACAGGGATGTGTTGCGGGGCGGCCTACACACCCAGGCGCTACGGTCAGCCTGTAGGCAGGCAGTCACGTTAGACAGGGATGTGTTGCGGGGCGGCCTACACACCCAGGCGCTACGGTCAGCCTGTAGGCAGGCAGTCCCGTTGGACAGGGGTGCTTTGCGGCGCGGCCTACACACCAGGCGCTACGGTCAGCGTGTACCTCGGGCATGGGCGGCCTACCCGCCGAGCCGGCCTGCTGGCGACCAGGTGCTCGTTGACTGCACTCACACACCTGCAGCCGCTTTACTCCTCCTTTGTCCCATTCCCTTCCGCGCTGCGACACGGCGACGTACTCTACGTATACTCGAGTTACGCCACACGCCAGCCTCAAGTCGTCAAAGAGCCTTTTCCTCGGCAGCCGCAGCGCCGGCGCCGCGCTCCGGGTGGAGAGGCAATCCAACAATTAGGAGGTCCACTGGCGCCGGAGCCCGCGGCCGCGACCAGTGGGCCACAGAGACGCGCTACTGGCCAGCCATTACCCGGAGAAAACGTTCGCCCGCCTCACTGGCGAGAAAGTTGAGCAAAGAAGCAGGAACAGCGGAGGGCGGAGGACCTCTAGTCTCCGGTCGGCTGGGCCGGGGCCTCCGCCGGGGCGGGGCGCGGAGTCAGCCGGGCGTTGTTACTGTTTCCTTTCCGTTTCATTTCCTTTCGGATGGCGCGTCTCCTTCGCTCCGCCCAGCCCAGCCACGCGCGGAGGCACAAAGCACGGGCCGGAGAGGTGCGCACAGCTCCGGCGCGAGAAACCTTGCGCGAGACTCGTTCGAAATAGCGCGCGCGCGCGCCCGCCCAGGCCCTGGCACTGACGGGCGAGTGATTTACGTTCGGGCCTCTCTTTTTTGATTAGTTGTGGACTTTCGCGACCGTAAGGTTTATATTAATTCACGACAAGTCGCACAGAGAGAGAGAGAGAGAGAGAGAGAGAAGAAATTTGCAATCTAAAACATCGAGGTGGAGTTCGAGATGATACGGCGTCCTCAGCACGGGCCGAGTAGTACTTCGACAGCTGAGGCCCAGCTTCTCTGCAGTCCACTCGCACGAGGGCCAAGGGCCACTAACTAGACGAGGCACAGCGTCAAGGCAGCAGCGGCGACGCCCCGGACGCGCACGCTCCCCGCGGCGGGGCGGGACCCGGTCACCGCGAGTGTGCTGCCGTGACGGGTGATCGTCCGCGCCGGGCGGGCCGCGCCCAAACCGGTCTCCACCGCCCGGCCCCGCCCACCTGCACCACAGTGTCATGATGCTCCCGCGGCAGCGGTGATGCTGGTGAGATCACCCCCTCCCCTCCCAACAGAGACTGACATAAAGACGGCTCTCTGTGGGATGGGACGGCGGGCAGCGCGTCGAGCGCCAGCCACAAGGCCGCGACATGAAGTGAAAGGTTTTACAGGTGAGCCAGCAGCACTCACGAGGTGCGGCCGTGAGAACAAACCAGTTGCATATCGGCCGGACCGGCTGAGTGGGGGGGGGCAGCCATTTCCGCCATGCGGCCAGCGACTGGGAGCGTCCATACGGAGGCGGCGCGAGCCCAGAGGTGACGGGTCAAGTGTACTTGACCTGCCGCAGGAACCCCTCCCTCCCCTCTAGCCGCCTCTGCTCCAAAGTGCCGTCGTCGCGAGCAAGTTTCAGAAACGAGAATAACCACGGCGCACGCGCTTGCACTTCGTGCAAAGAGTTCAATTTACAAAAGGGTACTCGGGAATTCTTTCATGATCTGTTTTAAATTAATCTTCCAAGATTTTCCCAGATTCATGTTTTTCAAATGTTTCTGGAAATATTTCATTTATACCCGAATTCATTTCTACATGGTTTTTTACCGGAAATACTTTAGAGTTCCTGACTCCGTGCCTTTACTTCCGCTCGCAGCAGAGAGCCTTCCTCCAAGCAGGCCCTGCGCTTTACCTGGACTCTGGCGCGGCGCGCGGACGAGTGCGGCCGGTGCACCTCCCGGCGGTTGCTGACGGAGCGCGAGCGCGCGGCGGGCGGGCCGCCCACGGGGCCGCCGTTGCTGCGCGCCTGCTGCTGGTGGTGCTGGCTGCTGTGGCTGTGGCGCGTCTGGGGCGCGGGGGCCGCCGAGCCCAGCGAGATCGGGAAGGGCTCCACGATGACGGGCGGGCTGGACAGGCCCTTGTTGGGGATCACCATGGCGCGGTTGTTGGGGCTGGGGCTCCGCGTGCTCTTGGAGCGCCGAAGCAGGCGAAGCATGTGGTTCTTGACGGTGGCCGCTAGGGGCATGTCTGACACCGAGCTGTGCGGCCGTCCGCTGCGCACGCCCACGCCGCCCCTGGACATGCCCAGGGGGTCACCCTAGGCGCACGGCATGGACCCGGGTGCCTCGCTCTCCTGACGCGGGCGTCTTCTGCTCGGCGAGGCCTCCCCTCACGTGCCGGAGGCCACGTGAGCTCGTGTTGATAAAGTCCTCACGCGTCGTCGTCTGCTGCTGCTGCTGTGTCGCCGCAGCGAAGCGCAGAATCATCCTATGTTGCACGGCGAGGGGTGCTTTCCAACCACGGCGACGTAGAAATGGATACGGCCCCTGTGTTTCAGGGTAACGATGATTTATGATTTAAATCGAAGTGGGGGGAGAGTAATTGTCCATGGGGGTTGCTGACTCAAGGTCACCAGTTAGTAACCATGTCACACTTGTATTGGCTGCACCCAGTTGGGTTCGATCAAAATTGGGGGAGGGGGGGGGGGTAATTGATTGTCCATAAGGGTTTCTAACTGAAGGTCGCCCAAGGACGGCACAACCAGTTGGCAACCCTGTCGCACACGTGTTGGCTTGCACCCAGTTTGCTTTTGACGTTCGCACGGCTGATAACAGAGTTGCCTTAGCAGCAACAACATCCGTCCCGTGCCGGCCGAGTATGTATGCAAGGCAAGCTAGATAGCTTAAGAAGGGACGGGGGTACGCCGAGAAAGAAAAGGTGCGAATCGCGAGGTAATGGCAGGGGAGGGG